ACAGCAGAACAAGATTATGTTAAGCCATCACTTCTGTCTCCTCCCACTAAAAGCACGAATCAATGAGCAAGATATGTCAGGAATTTCCATGAACTTGCTCTACCTGTTGGAAGCAACATCCTGAGTAGCATATCTCTTTTATCCACAGGACCAAGAAGGAAAACCCAAAAGAGCCACTGTCCACGACAATAAAGATGGCACATATGCTGTCACCTACATCCCTGACAAGACTGGACGCTATATGATTGGGGTCACCTATGGGGGGGATGACATCCCGCTTTCTCCTTACCGCATCCGAGCCACGCAGTCGGGTGACGCCAGCAAGTGCCTGGCCACGGGTGAGTGCAGGGTAACATTAGGGCCAGGAGGGTGGATTGTGGAGTCAGAAAGCTAGGTTCTAGCCCTTCTCCACCACTTAATAGCTGTGTTATCTGGGTGAGTTGCTCAGTCTCTCTGAGCTTCAGTCATACATAGATTGAAGATCTCTTTGGGGAACGTTCAGGTTCAAGAAGTTCTTGCATGGGTCAGAGACTGTTCCACAGGATTATTGCAAAAATTAGATGAGGGTGAGGCATGAAAAATGCTGAGCCCAGTGCCAGGTTCATGGGAGCTATTTATTATATCACTTTTGAAGTGGCTATATTTGTTGAGGTCTCAACTATGATGGTGACTCCCATGAGAAGCTGCAATTTTCTGCCTTCATGAGTAGATGGTTGAGTTATTTAAGATTCAAGAGCATTTCAGTTCAGCATCAGAGAAACACATGAAAGGATCTAGGGTTTTCCTTTCAGGAATTCTCCATGGATAACTGAGCCTCACTGTTCCTTCAATTTCTTAGGCATGAATAGTTGACTGTCATGGGCCTTTCAATTTGTAAGAATAGCTCCTGCAGCTCAGGGTTGCTCCTCAAGCAGATTTCAAAACATGAAATGAAATGGATTTGCTTCTCTTGGGCCTGGGTTTTTTTTTAATCTTTCATCTTACTCTGTCTTTTAGGTCAGGGTTGTCAACTGCTCCTCTTGGTCTTTTTTTGTCTTACTCATTGCAAAAATTAAGAAATTTTGAAATGTTGGCCAGATTGCCGCCCCCGTTACTATAGTGACCCCTGACCCTAAAAGGGCATGTTAATGTGGGAAGGGGGTTTCCTTTTTGCTTTTCAGACTCTGTTTCCTCCCCTAGCACAACCAGAGTCCTGAGCAAAATACTCTCCTCGACAGTGTGATTCCTGTTGGCCATATCTCTTGGTCTGTCCTTCATGGCCTTCCACAGATTGGCTCCAGTCTTCTCCTCTACCTACCCTCTGTGCAAATGTTCTTACCACTCCCTGATGTGCCTAAACTTCATGCTCATTTTTGCTGATGTGTTTTAGTTCACACTTCTCTGTACTTTCTGATTTTATATAGATCCTGGGTAAAGGAGTGCCATAAGTCAGAGAAAGAGACTGGCTATTGTTTGGAAAGAGGTTACTAAAAAAATGCCTATCCTTTAGAGTTGAACCATTTTTTTCTTTTTGGGGGAGTGAAGGGGAAGATTGCCCTCTATCAATGTGGCAACTCTGAGATGTAAATTCTTAGAACCTTTGAATAGCTGGGAGGTGGAACACTTATCAGAAGAACGATTGATTATTTTATCCATGACTCAGTCCCTGCTCAGTCATTTCCATGGCAGATAGAGCTGTCATTCTTAGCACTGGCCCACATCTGTCTTGTTAGACTATGAGCATCTGAGAAGGAGGGACTGCGTCTTGTTTCCCTTTGTATGGGCCTGGCACTTAAGAGCATGCCTAGTGTGTTTGCTGATGATAGTCGACCTTCATCTCCATACCCTTGGACATGAGCAAACCAGGCTGTTTCCTTTGGAGCTGAGGGGGACTCAGAGCTGACAGTTGCTCTTATTTATGAAGGATGGGTGGGATACTCCTTAAGCGGCACCTGCCCCTCTGAAAAGTGATCTTTGGGAGAGTCCCATGTGGCAGCAGTTAAATGCCTAATATTTACAGCTACAAGCAGCACAAATGTGTATGATTTGTTGTTGGGCCTCTGGAGCATGTGTCCCTGCTCATGCTTCTATTATCTTCTCCTGAACCTTTCCGCAGGTCCTGGCATTGCCCCCACTGTGAAAACTGGCGAGGAAGTGGGCTTTGTGGTGGACGCCAAGACTGCTGGGAAAGGGAAAGTGACCTGCACAATTCTCACCCCAGATGGTACTGAGGCTGAGGCTGATGTCATTGAAAACGAGGATGGCACCTATGACATTTTCTATACAGCCGCCAAGCCTGGCACTTATGTGATCTATGTGCGCTTTGGTGGTGTTGATATTCCAAATAGCCCCTTCACTGTCATGGTAAGTAAAATTC